TACACCTTGCTATTATTTGCAAGGAGACTGCCTGAAGAGAAAGCACATACAGAGCAAAGGAGAGAGCTGAGAGAGAGCTCACCGACACCTATTAAGCATCCAAGTCCGAGCCAGAGGTTTTAAGGTTATATAAGCCAATATAAATGTCTCCTTGTATTTATGCTCTTTTGAGTTGGGCTTCTGTGAGTGGAAACTGAGACAGAGTATAATATAGCTACTTTTTTCTTTTTTAAGTTTCTATTTCTACTCTGGGGATCAAAATAATGCAGAAGAATAATCTGGACAGGCGAACACAGTACTGTAGAAAAAATACTAGATTTGAGGTTAGGAGACAGGTTTGAGCCATTACACAGACAATGACCTAGGACAGACTGATCTTTATAGGTTTATGTTATCATTTATATTAGAACAGGTCTGAACTAAATCATTACTAAAGTCCTTCAAGGTATAAAAACCTTATATATAACTTTATGAATATACAGATTGTCTAACAGGCGTAAATACCATGCATTAGAGGGACACAGTTTAGCCCAGAAGAATTAATGTGTTAGAAAAATTAGAATGTTATATAAGGAGTTCTTTTTGTTTTGTTTTTACTGAAAGTGAGAAGAATTACAGTTTAAGTGAGGAGAAAAAATAGAACATTGTATTGATACCATATGGGGAAATTTAGTAAGTAACTAGAAAAAAGTAACTAGAAAAAAGTAACCTGACTATATGATTAGGACAAAAATTCATTCCTCAGAGAAACTAGAAAATCTCCTCTTCTTGGGATCACTTAGAATAAAGTTAATATTTATTATTTCTAGAAAATTCAAGTCTTCATTACAGATAAGCTAATGAACCCATGTACAGAGATCATACTATATATGAATTTTATCTCTAATAATTGCTTTGAAAGCAAAACAAAAAAGAAACCAAAAGGTCAAGTATTTTTCCTAAAAGTTTAATCAAAGAAAATAAAGATTAATGCTTACTTTACCTGCCACCACTCTAGAAGGGGGAAGGCAACGGAAAAGAGAGAGGAGCAGCAGAAATTCTGGGTAAGTTTGTCATGTAACAAAAGTTTGCCTCTGAATTCAGAAATTTGGGGTATCTTTCCAAAATATATACTTACCAGCATTAGTAGGATGCTTTAACTCTTTTATTCATAGTTTACAATAAATGCTGTGAGTTCGTTCCCATTCTGACACGTAAGTGTTAAGTGCGGACAGCCTGAAGCACAGGACTAGACAGGAACCAGCCCTGGGAGGAGTTCAGCTGCACCAGGCTCTCCTGGGGGGCAGGACAGGGAGCTGCTGACAGCCTGTTTCACTCATGAAGTAAAAGGACCAAATCTGCAAAGGAATGACTCCTAGGGAAGTGTAACAGAGTTGCCTTCTAAATTACCGAATATAAGAAGGACTCTTCCTTCCCTCTAGCAGTTATTCTGCTCTCAGAAACATGCTTCTGTAGAGGAGGTATCAGTTGTCCTCTGACTTCTCTGCAGCCCTCAAAGCCTCAGGTATTATCTGGGCATCACTAACACAACAGCACACGGTTTGGTCAGCAGGCACTCACCACTCTGCCATCTAATTTGCACCTCTGCTGAGGGAATGGCAGACTGCACCAGATTATTTTGGAGGAGAGTCCCTGCCAAGTCCACAAATTCTTCACTAAAACATGAGAACTGGCTCTTCTTTCTTCAAAACAAAGGGGGGGGGGAGCAGGGGGGGGGGGGGGGGAGGGAAAAGGAGAAAGAGAAGGAGAAGAAACAATATCCTCCCATAGAAATGTCACCAGAACACAACTTTCTTCTTAATGTTTCCCTACAACTGAAATTAAGGATACAAGCAAAGTCACATTAAAGACAGTTTTAATAAAATTAATGTTATATAAACTGAAAAAGTGATAAAATATATGTATCTCCTGTAATAATGGTTCACAGTTATAACGCAAATCTACAGATTCAAATGCAAATCTATAGATTCAACCTAAAAGGAAATAGTAGCAAGAGGATAAATTTTTAGCAGGTGTTTCAAGAATAAAACTACTTTGGATAATCAATTATATTTACTATAAGATACTTACTTCCCTGGAAGAATTCCATAGTTGTATAACAACAGCTTTTACCATGTTCAGCTTAGCTCATTTCTCATGATGAAATTATACTTACTGAAGGTTAAAAATACATTATTTCGCTAGCACCCTAACCATTAGGTAAACATGTGCTATATTTGAAAACTGTTAGACAATTAAATTTCAAAGACTTAAAGGAAGCCTTCAGCATTATATTTATAAGACTAACAACTTCAACCTGCCTTTATTGTACTTAAGTCAGGGGCCACTAAATGCCTGAGCATCAGTACAAAAGGGTATAAACTGAGGAGCCTTGTCAAAACAGGCCCATTTCAGAAGAGCTTGTCCCTGTACAGAGATTAATTCTGAACAGCCTCAAAGTTCTTTTGCAGTTCCAGGATAGTAAATAAAAAAGTTCAACATGTTCAGAGGACTCAAGTTTTACTCTGAATGCTATCATTAACTGTTTGAATAATCTGAATCAAAGCACTTCACCTTTCTGGGCCTCCGTTTTATCATTTTTAAAGTAAGAAAAATTCCTGCCAAAAAAGGTTCATAATCTTATGCCCATAATCTTTATCCCTTTAATCTAGCTTTCTACCATTGTTTCAACATGCAAAAATGCAAATGGAACCATTAGTAAAATACAGCTTCATCAACAGCATCTGCTCGTAAATTTCTTTTTGCCTTTTTAAATATACACAGAAGTGAAGGTAGGAGCACATTAGGATACTGTGTGTGACTACAGCTGTGAATAATTCATCCAAAAATGGTCTGGGTATATTAATTAATCATGAACTAAGCACAACAAATCTCAATGATTTATTTTGACTCCAAGATGCTAAAAGTGATCAATTTTGGCTAAATTACTTAACTCTGAATCTTGATATAATGTAACAGCTAAACATAACAGTACACACAGAACTCCATCCTCTATTAGCTTGTTACCTTCCACTTGGGGGAGATTCAAACCTGTAAGAGGAAGAAGAGAGAGCAGGTGCGCCTGGAGCATTTCTGCTGATGACGTAGGGACTCTCACATTCTACAGTATACTGCATTTATTTTCATAAACACTTCTTGCTATCTTTTCACTCTGGCCCCTATTCCACAACAATATCCCATGGGCCTTGCCAGTTTACCAAATCTCTCTTCACGTTTACAGAGAAACAGATCTGACAATATTTTCAGATTCTGAGGAATACAGTATCTTCCCCATGACAAATTAAAATGTCTTCATTTTTTCATTATGAAGACTTCTCTTGGATATAAATTAAACTGTTTAAGCATCCTTGAGTTTTACTTGTATCCCTGAAAATGATGTGAAGGACTATCCCAAGTGCTTTTTTTTTTAATTTTATTATGTTATGTTAGTCACCATTCATTACATCATTAGTTTTTGATGTAGTGTTCCATGATTCATTGTTTGTGCATAACACCCAGTGCTCCACGCAGAACGTGCCCTCTTTAATACCCATCACCAGGCTAACCCATGCCCCTACCCCCCTCCCCTCTAGAACCCTCAGTGTGTTTCTCAGAGTCCATCGTCTCTCATGGTTCGTCCCCCCCTCCGATTTGCCCCCCTTCATTTTTCCCTTCCTACTTCTTTTTTTTTAAACATATAATGTATTGTTTCAGAGGTACAGGTCTGTGATTCATCAGTCTTACACAATTCACAGCACTGACCATAGCACATACCCTCCCCAATGTCTATCACCCAGCCACCCCATCCCTCCCACCCCCAACCACTCCAGTAACCCCCAGTTTGTTTCCTGAGATTAAGAATTCCTCATATCAGTGAGGTCATATGACACATCTTTCTCTGACTTATTTCGCTTAGCATAATACCCTCTAGTTCCATCCACGTCACTGCAAATGGCAAGATTTCAGTTTTTTGATGGCTCTATAATATTCCATTGTGGGTGTGTGTGTGTGTGTGTGTGTGTGTGTGTGTGTGTGTGTGTATCACATCTTCTTTATCCATTCATCTGTCGATGGACATCTTGGCTCTTTCCACAGTTTGGCTATTGTGGACATTGCTGCTATAAACATCGGGGTGCACGTACCCCTTCGGATCACTACATTTGTATCTTTAGGGTAAATACCCAGTAGTGCAATTGCTAGGTTGTAGGGTAGCTCTATGTTCAAGTTTTTGAGGAACCTCCCCATACTGTTTTCCAGAGTGGCTGCACCAGCTTGCATTCCCACCAACAGTGTAGGAGGGCTCCCCCCTTTCTCTGCATCCCCGCCAGCATCTGTCGTTTCCTGACTTGTTAATTTTAGCCATTCTGACTGGTGTGAGGTGGTATCTCATTGAGGTTTTGATTTGGATTTCCCTGATGCTGAGCGATGCTGAGCACTTTTTCATGTGTCTGTTGGCCATTTGGATGTCTCCTTTGGAAAAATGTCTGTTCATGTCTTCTGCCCATTTCTGGATTGGATTACTTACTCTTCGGGTGTTGAGTTTGATAAGTTCTTTATAGATTTTGGATACTAGCCCTTTATCTGATATGTCATTTGCAAATATTTTCTCCCATTCTGTCGGTTGTCTTTTGGTTTTGCGGACTGTTTCCTTTGCTGTGCAAAAGCTTTTTATCTTGATGAAATCCCAATAGTTCATTTTTGCCCTTGCTTCCCTTGCTATCCCAAGTGCTTCTTACATGGCTGGTACTCACTATCAGAAGCATTTAGCCAACTCTCCTGAAGAAGCACCTACATCACACAGGGTGGATATGTGTGTGGGTGAGTGTGTATAAGAGAGGGAAAGAGAGCATGTGTGAGAGTACAGCTTAGTCAGGAAAGGTCAGAGTACTACGAAAACCTGTAATTAACCCCAACTCAAAATCCTGAGTAAAGCACTCTACGATCTGTTGGTTGTAATGCCAAACAAACAAAAAAGTTGCAGTTTAATGTGGTGAAGGCAAATACTTTAGAAAGGCCAAATGTGTTTGTAGCTTGCAACAGAAAAGTTAAGACTGTTGCAGTATCTCTAGCAAATAATTCTGTCCATTCCAGAAAAACCGACCTCTTTTTCTGAAACTATGAAGGTCACGAGAGGACTGGAAATACCACTTCCCTTCAGTATATGATGACGACTTCTCAGTTTAGCCTGCTACTAGTTTTCATCAAATACGCGCATGGTAACACAATCAAAGAATAATACTTATTTTGGAGTCCTCTTTGGAAACTTCAGGGAACATTAACATTTTCAAAATGCCCCCAAAAAACCTTCTCCTGAAGAAATCTCAATATTTTGTAGACAGATAGTACACCTTAATGCCTGGCAAAACATCTGGTTTTGTTGCTTTGGTTAAGACAAAGCTCTGCACGTCACTGTGACTCACTGCTTTGTTCATCACTGTGCACCGGGGTGCACGGCTCTGTCTTCCATCCTGAGAGAAATCTTATCTATTGTTGTGGAGGTATTCTGCTCCAGGAGTGCCAAGCCTCGAATCACAGCCTGTACAAGAGGATTTGTCATGAAAAATCTACTGTTATGAAAATTGCCAAATTCAGGAAAGCCAAGACTTTCAATCAAGGGCTTCTCAAGAGGTCTTGTCAAGAAGTGGGAGCAATTATGAAATGCTTTGCTACACATAAGTTCACTGTTTTCAGAAGGCAAATTCTACAGCCAGGATTTTAACTGCCGTTGACTGGATAAAATACAAACTCGTTTGCACAGTTTAGGTTTCAACCTTAAAACTAAAATGTGAAGTTCTAATCTTTTCCTTCCTAACATAGTGTTATGCCAGGATTTGGCCAAAAATGATCTCATTAACCAACAGCAAAGAAAATGATGCAACATGAATTTTTCTGAAAAATCTTAGAGAATTCCTATTTTTTGACACAAGCCTACTTTCACCTGACAAAAGAATTTAGAGATTCCATTTGCTCTTTCATTCTTTCGTGAAATAGCATTTTAAGCACTTGTTTTCACCAAAAACAGTCAAAATTGATTGGATATCAAAGATGACATAAAAGTTGTCAAGTCAAAGACGATGGCATAGTTTTAATGTATTACTTGAAATTTAAATACTAGCAGCCCTTTCATTAAAACTTACTATTGGGCAGAACTAAAGCTTAATTTTGATTAATTTGTAACCATTTAGATTTATTCATTGTCCTCTGAGAAAAGAAAACAGTGGCCACTATTTTTTCCATTTAAAAAAGGGACATAATTCTTATGAAGACTCCTTTTATTTTCCACGTTAAAAAAAATTTCAGTGTAATTAAAAACTACAAGCAAAATTTTATGTTCATGTATATCATGCACATTTTTAGTGGGAGACTATAGCTTTCATCATATTTTTTAGAAAGTATGTAACATAAACATTTTAAGAGCCAAGAGCTTAAATCTAGTGTTCTGGCTCCACATTACACAGCTTCTCTATTTTTATTTGAAATTCTTTTTACTTGATCTCTTTCCCACTACAATGTCTACTGCTCATCAACCCTGCTTGCTCTAAACTTCTACCACTGCTTCAGCTACTGTACTTTTACTTGACCCGTTTATGGTTTTCTTCCCATTCTCTTTCCCCTGTGCTGCCCTGTACTTATTCACTTCAGTGTAGAACAATTACCTTCTATATTTTTAATCAGTAAAACCAACTGTTTCCCTCTAGACGATGAAAAAATGAACCAAAGTAAACATCTCAGGCCCTCTAGAATTCACTCCACTACTATCATCTCAGGGTGTACACAATATAAAGAAATGTAAGGCAATCTATTATAATCAATATTCACTAAAATCAAGCACTAATATAAGATTCCGTTTTATAAACTATCACCAATACACAGCACTTTGGCATCCTTAGATGTAATTTTAAAAAATCACAAAGATAGATAAAACAAGAAATGAGGAAGGAGAAAAGGAGCCAGGAATCAATACAACCACCAGCTAAAATGGTGGAAATGATCATGTTTCTGTTTTGAAGTTGTTAAAAAGAAATTAGCTTAGGGGCACCTGGGTGGCTCAGTCAGTTAAGCATCCGACTCCTTGATCTCAGAGTCCAGTTCAAGCCCCACATTGGGCTCCACGCTGGGCATGGAGCCTACTTTAAAAAAAAAAAAAAAAAAAAAAAAATTAAAGGCAGGCAGGCAAGCAACTTAAACTGGAAGAGAACCTTCCTGATTGTAAACATTATTAAAACTAGAATAAATTTTTTGCATAAAGTTGTGATGTCTCCCTCAACAGAGTTCTTTCTCTAGGTGAGTTTCTCCCTCTATCTGGAGTGGTTTGGGTTTTTCCTTCTCAGAGACAGAGAAATGTACAAAAATCTCTTTGTAAGATATATAAACCTATTTTGTCACACTTACCATCCAAAGAAACGAATCCCTTAGAAATTACTGTGAAAGTTCTCCCAAGAGTTTACATTCTCCCCTCAAACATACTAACAGATTAAGTTTGTCACTGATTTTCAACAGTCTTTATTAGTCTTCTGAATAAGATAAGACTCTTTGACTAATCTTAATTATAACTACATTCATGAATATTCATATCAAAGAATAATTTTCATATCCTTATAAAAGTAAAGATCATACTTTACTAGGAAATGGCATCCAAGTTATCATCCAAAGACATCTTATTCTCAGGCAAGGTTCAGAAAGATCAAGCTTATTTTTGTTTAAAGTACTGCTTCTTTAAATGCTGTCAGGATTTTATGAGAGCAAGTATGCCATACAGTTAATGGGTAAGATTTACTAGCATGATATGAAAATGCTAGCATGAACAAAAAAATTGAAAGAATCAGTCATTTGCTCATATGACAGTTAAGGTAGTAACTGATTTAAATGTTCGGAATAAAGAAATAAGGGTTACCAACCATCTTTTTAAAAACCTGTTTTCCAATAAATGCTCAGATCGAGGAAAAAGAAAGAAAAAAACATCAAATATAACTTACCTTTTTGTCTCTGGTCCTTACTTCCCCATAGAAATCTAGGGCCTCTTGTGCCTTTAAAAATTTGCCCCGATGTAATAAATATGCACAAATCATTACACCAGTTCGTCCCTTTCCAGCTTTACAGTGAATTGCTGCAACATGATTGTCATCTTCACTTAGCCATTGGTCAAGATCTTCACAAAAGGGTTTGATAAGTTCTAGCTGTGGTGGATTATGGTCTTCAAAAGGATACTGTGCAACTGTGGTAAAAGGATAACCTCAGAATTAGAAAAAAGTCTTTCCTGAATTGTTTATTAAAGTAAGTTAACTTGAGAAATGTTGCATATAAGCTTAACAGGTGTTTAAAAGAAAAACCAGACTCCAGAGAAAAATAATTTGCTGCCTGATAATTTTCCAATTTTTGAATACAAAATAGTCTCTCATTAATTCTTAAACCTACCCACTAGACAGAGAGGCCGAGAATTATTTTCTCCACTTAATGAAAGAGGAAACTTGGCTATGGAGAGGTAGCACAAGTCAACATATCAGAGGGAGAGGCAAACTCAAAATGAAATGTCACGTAGGTAGGTTTCCTGGCAAGGCTCTCAGTGCATTTTCTGACAAAAGAAGTCATAATATTTATAGTATTACATCACCACAAAACATGTATTCCAGAGAAGGTATAAATTACCAGTAAATCCATAATGGAAAGGACTGATTTTTACACTTCATAAAATAAAAATGCTAATTAAGCATGTTATTTGAAGATGGTCTTGCAAATGTTAGTGTTGATTTTAAAGGCATTTACAAAAGACACTGAAAAAACTACTTATAAAAATGTATACAGTTGTAGTAAAGTGTATCTAATGTCACGTCTTTTCACATGGTTTATAAAAACCCAAAATTTCACTGTTCCCTATAGTCAGAGTTGAGGGTTTTTTTTTTTTAAACTTGCCTAGAAATAGGAGTTTAACTGTATCACTATTAAATTTTTTTCTTACTGGTCCCTGCCTTGGTTCCATTCCATTAAAATCCTTAAAAATCCTGACTGACAGCAAATGTATATAATTATCCTGTGTGTCATCTAAATACGTGAGAAATATTCCTTCTATCTTCAATCAACTCATTAATAACGTGGAACAAGGTTCAGTGTTGGGTGAGTCGTCCCGGGAGATAACGACTGCCGTTACAGGGAGTCGCTGGGACAGCTTTCACCTGGGCCTCAGCATTCCATCTTCATCTCCCCAGTGGCACATAAAAACATCCAGGAAACTCTGTGAAACGTCTATTTAAAGCTAGATAAACCGTGACTAAAACACACTTTGCCTAGTAAGCAGTAGGCTAAATTCACGAAAAAGGAAAAATTCTCAGTGAGTCTGTATTGGCTCTCAGCCATTAGTGCCTCTGAATTCTCAAACAGGCTGTCTGAATGTCCGTTCTAGATTTTTCAGAAGGAATCCACGGCAAACATATTAGTATATAGCTCATGGCATCCACCTTCTCTTTCTATCACGGTAGCACCTGCCACGCTTCTCCACTCTCCAGGTGTCTCGTGGCTCAAGGGGTTCCACCAACACAGACGGAAGGTTTCTGCGGGCCCTCAGAAGAATTCACCACCGCTAGAGGAGCACTCACTGAGAGCAGCTCCCACGCTCCTCTACCAGGCTCCTCACTGAGAGCAGCTCCCGCGCTCACCTACCAGGCTCCTCCTTACCCATGTCCATCATACCCTTCTCTCCCTTTTAGGTCATGGCTCCACAGAGCTAAGTTGCTCTGTTTTCTCCCTATAATCTCTTACTGTTACACCAAATGCCTCCAACAGTAGATATAACCCTCTCTTTATTTTACTGTTAGTCTAGAAATTTTTCCTAATTCTTATAATCTACTCTAGTGTTCTTACTAGTACTGGCAGGTTTATATAATTGTTTCCTAAAACACACCAGCAAAATTAAATTTGTTTTCCAAAATGTCTAAGACCATCTTTAAGATAAATATTTACCTCACTTAATAATTGAGATTATTAATTACTGCTGTGACAGTAAGATTTGGTCTATTGGTTTTAAGTTATATAACAAAAATACATTACTCGGCAGTTAATACCTACCTCTGCAGTTAAATTTGGCGGTATCATAATGTCTTTCAGCACACCTAAAAGAAAAAGTTTAAATGTGATCTAAAGTTATCTTTTGCACTGGCGAAAAAAAGTATAGTAACACACATTTTCTGAACTTTTATACCGCACCAGGCATCATGCTGTTTTGTATTAACTATTTCTTTCAATCCTAACAATCTATGAAGTAGGTAGTGTCATTATCCTCATTTTACCATTAAGGAAACTGATGTTAGGTGTTATGCACATACAGCTTACACACTTGCTCACAAAACCTTGATGCCGCTCAGGCTCCCACCTCCCACCCAGCTGCATGTGTACCCTCAAATTTCCTGTACGGACACTCTGTGTGCTGAGGGAGTGTATGTTTGATTTCACCAAGTATGTACAAACAACTAATGAGTTACAGCATTGTCTTTACCTCAGAGTTGAGCACACATTGTTTTCTCAAACTAGTATGCAAAAAAGATATATTTTTAAAATAGTAAAATTATAAGGGCAAAGAAAAAGTAAAAAAAAAAAAAGTGAATGATGCTAATGTACTCAAAAACAACACTTCCTAAAAAATTTTTAAGCTAGACCTTTCTCTCTTTAGAGAAGCCAAAGGTCATCTTTTTCAATAATCTCTCAGGTTATGAGTTTTAATTAAAGTCTGAGAGTAATGAAGGAGTAATAAATAAAATACAGAATAATAAAATGTTGACTTAGAGCATACTAAAATTTGTCTTTTTAATATTAGTGACACATTTGTCATCATGCACTGGTTTACTCATGATTAATAAGTATATTTATAAACATTAATAAGGCTCCGAAAGGGATCCCATACTTTGGTTTGTGGTCAGCAGAATCATGGTAACTACAGCTACTAACCAAATGAGTTTAAAAAAAAATATTTAAAATAAAAACTTGGCATTTTAAAACAAATCAAGGTCTACAATCCCTGAATCTCCAATTCTGAAGTATGAAATTTTAACATTTCCTGTTAAACTTATGGCAAATTCAATTGTGGCAGAATCTGATCTGAGTTTATGACACTGTATGCACTCTTTAACTAATACACTTGAAGAGTCAAACACTTCATGCTAGGTAGGGACTGCTCCAGACCCCAGGGGGTGTTATGTAATACTAGTTAAGTATTTGCTTCCATGTTACCTTTCTGCAAAGGGAAAAATTCTTAACACTGAAACACAACTGGTCCCAAGAGTTTCAATAAGTGATTATGGACATGTATTTCACATTTAAGAAATCCTAAAACTATCTGTATAGTTCCTCTACTTTAAATAGTTTTAAATCCTAATCCACATGAAAGTGGAACTAATTATAAACAAATTAGAATCCACTAGTTTAAATGGTCAGACCTGAAATAAATTGACTTTCACACTACTGCTTAAAACAAAGCTTTCCCCCTTTTTTGCATATAATTTAATATACTGAGTTTTGCTCAAAAAAAATTATTTAGTAAAGCCATATGCATATTTATGTATCCTTGCTAAATAATTTCATACTCCCTCCTATACAAAACATGACAGGCAGGAGGAAGACTGACCAAGAAAATAGTCATATTTTATACTTTCTTTAGTACAGATTAAAGAAGAGGTCTGGTAAATAGTGAAGAATCCGTAACAGAATATTTTATAAGGACTCATGGAAAGATAGGACTTAGAAGGTGAGGGAGAAGGAGTAGGCTAGGAAACAATTCTAAGAAGCTGGTCTCATGGCAGCACAACAAAAAATAAACATTCTGAGTTTCATGCAGCTTTAGTCCTCTAATATTCTCATGCTTTTTCAGGAGCTCACATGTTTGGTTTGACAAATACTGCTTAACACTACCATCCTAAACTGATTCTCAAATATTACTGTTAAGAGGCAGAAATGGAGGAAAAGTGGGAATAATGAGCTACTATGTCTACCAGATGTACACACCTTACAAAGGAGTTTCCATGTTTTTTAATTCATAGTCACAACAATATAACAATAGAAAACATAATCTCCATCTTACATATGAGAAAGCTAGGATTTAGAAGAGCATTAAAAAAAACTTGCCCCAAACCACAATATGCAAATGGAAGAGCCAGGTCTCAAGCCCAGGACCTCTGGTTACAAAAGTCAAACTTTTTCCAGCATGGCTCCATACTTCTACTTACAATACAAAATAGAGAACAATTTTAAAAACAAACGCAATAACAAATTCTACTCAAAATCAGCCTTCCTACAAGAGCAATATTTGGCATAAAAGATAGAACCAACAAAAAGCAATCATGAAACATGAAGAAGTTATGAAAATCTCTACAGGTACGGATGAGGAGTACATGAGAACATATACTGGGGCCGGTAGTGATGGACGTGATCTGGAGGAGGGGTTGCTAGGGTAAGAATGATGACTGTCTTCTTAATTAAGACCTTCTCCAAAACTGTGCACACATGCGTGCACACATGCACGCATGCACACACCCAGGTCCTTATAACTTTTGTGTGGTATGTTAGTTGATAAGTCTCTCAACAAACCAAAACTGAATGGGATTTACATAAATGGAAAATGGGATGTGACTGAGACAAGTATTAGGTAACTCTGACCACTTACACTTCCATATAATTAAAATTCAACTTAAAAGATACCATTTTTAAAAATCTTCACCTTATACTGGCTTATATGAGACAAGAGAGATGAAGAAGCATTGAAAGAGTTTTTAATGAAGCGGTAGACAGAAAGTGAAGGAAGAGATAGGACTAATAGGAAAAGCTTCCAGAGAAGTGAGACTTGCCAAAGAGTCAGTGAAGTATGCAGGTCTCTTCTGTAACTCTCTTCAACATCACTATCTCTAGCTTACAAAAGAAAACCTAACAGATAAAAATTAACAACAGCTAAAGGTTCACCACCAAATGATGGAGAGTTGTATGTCAAATAGAATACACGATGAAATACAGTAACCCTTTTAAAAATGAATATCCAGTAAACATTTAAGGTCCTCAAAGGCAGGAAGTGTATTATACCTCTACCCCCATCTTCCTCCCTCTTCCTCTTACCCCACCAGCCTACAGGTACACAGAGGAACACACAAAAATGTAATATACACACTTGCACAAAACAAACTAATTTACTAAGCATCATCATACCCAAATGTGATTAATGATACGAAGCTAATTTTGTCCTTTCTTAAAATAATTTACTGAATGCTTGATAAGATAGAGATATAAACAGTCAATTATTAAAAAGTCCGTATTAAGAACTGTTCGTCATCCACACGTCGTAATTGCCATAAGAAGTTTAATATACCATTAAATACATGTATGTCTAGTGTAAATATTTTAAGACCTTTCAGTTTCTATGTTTGCAAGGACATACATCACATGTAGTTAACATCCCCAAAATAAAAGAAATAAAATAGAAACATCTGTTGCTTGCCAGACTCCCTTACCCAGAGCCAGAAATACAAAAAGGGGTAGAGAGAAGGTGAAGAATGAAAAATGTCATCAGAAATCAAAACATGCTACAACCTGGTAGTTCTAGAAACTTCTGAAGTAAAATTTGGGGAGGTTAAAACAAACGACGACGACAACAACAACAAAGCCAGAAAGGGAAGACTGGCATAAACGGTGGGTGGTCTGCTACCATATGTACCTGTGTGACCTTGTTCAACTCACTTAACTTCTAGGCCTCAGATTCCCCATCTGTAAAATGAGAAGGTTGGACTAAATGATCTCTTTCAGGTACTTTCCAGTTCTGAAAGTCTATGACTCCGTTAAATGGAGTGAGGAAGGGGAACTGAAATATAAATACCAAAAGCTACTCTCAACTAATGAGACAGTTCATTAACTCTGGGGTCCGACGTTTAGAAATACAAAAACAAAAGGGCAGCCAAGTTCCCAGACCAGCTCCCAATACCACCTTTAACCATAATAATGTTAAGTGATCCAGAGCACTGACAGTGCAAGCCTAGGTCCTAAATTCTGGAAGCAGGAAGCCACTGAATACAGGAATGAAAAGAATTTCCTTCCTTTTCTTTGGATATAATGTTAAACTCGAGTAAAATTTTGAAAAAGACAGAATTTGTCTTTGGTATCTTTCTGCCTTCCTTCTGGGACTCTGAATGCCTAATCTTTAGAGTCTAAACCCTGAAGTGACTCACTTAATGGACTGACTGCAGCTTTTGACACTTCTTGTCCTGTGCTTTATTTTCTTTTTTAAACTTAGCTTCTGAATCTAGTTATTCAAAAAGTATAAAGCTTTGAGGTTTTTATTTTCCTCCACAGAAACACTCTGGCGTCTGCAACAAGGCTAGTTACAGGAGGTTACTCAGGACGAGAGGAAGACCTATTCACAGATCACCTACACTCAAGTCCCTACAGCACCTTTGTCTTTCACCTTGTTACCTGTCACCCCACACCCTCGGCATAAACGTTTGCTTCTTTGTGAATCCGAGGAAATTAATGAAAACTCACTAGGAGAAACAATAATGGTGTCTACTTCACTCTCATGTCTTCTGAGGTCTTATCAGAATAGAAAGATCACTAAATTAAAGATAGAAAAGCAACATTCCACAAGCTGACAAGGCACACAGAATCTTTCATCCTTTTTGGTGATGATTTAAATGCCCACTGAAGGGAGAAGAGAATCTTATTCTTACATTTGAGAAATAAATTCTACAGAAATTATGACAGTCAATCGGGAAACATAACTTCAGATTAAAATTTTTCCTGTTGCATAATTTACAGACATCACATAGGAAAAATAAAAACCAGGTAGAAAAATAACACATTTTATATACCATTTCTTAAAAGGCAGAAAGTGGGTCAATATTTTGGGAAGGAATAATAGTCTTCAAGGGCAAAAATGATAAAATATTTTCTTCCCATTTTTCTTTTGGTCTTTTTTTCCTTTTCACATCCCTACTCACAAAGTCAAAAAGAAAAACAAAAGGTTGAAGATAAGCTAGCTGTACCAAGGAGGCAATCTTTACATCCTTGCCTTAAACAAGATAAACCACCCAACTCAACAATTTCAGATAACTTACTTTTGTTATATACAGTTAGAGAATACCCTAATAGCTGTTTCAATCAAATGACCTAAAGACACAGAATAAAGAAAACTACACCCACTCTGAAGCATCTATCTCTATGGAAGATGTTATTAATGCTTTAACAGAAAAAGCTCTGCTGTGAAATACACTTCAAGTTACCACATGGTTATTGGCTCAAAGATGGGCTAGATGCCAAGTCATTTAAACCAGATCAAGTAAAGTGAATGTGTGCCAACATTGTTTTGACCTCATCACTACACTTTCTGAATGACCTAACAATGCTCTTAATCAGACATCTTGGACTAATTGTTTTAGGAACACAATTCTGTTAAAATATATCTTTAACTCTACCTGATTCTAACAAGGAAATAACTTTCACTTAATAGTTATTTTAGAAGATATTTGCAAGCATACAAATAAAAGACATACTTACAGATTGTATATCTTGTAATGGTTTTTATGCTTTGAATCCAAAAACCTTAAAACAAAACAAACAAACAAAAAGCCACCATTAACAAAAATGAGCTAACATTTGAAATTACATTTATACTATTGAGAAAACCTAAATGACAGATTCCATTTTTCCTAATCTCAAATACCATTTAAGAAAAATAAATAAATAAATTCCAATAAATATTCCCTTCATGGGTTTAAACTAGTAATCAGGTCATTCTTAAATAATTATTACATTACACAGATTTATACAATCTGAAGTAAAGCCAGAGCTTTTCATAGAATAAATATTTTCATAATCTTCTCTCTTTAGCCTAACATTATGAGGTTGAGTATTAAATAAGTTATTTAAAAGGCAGCATTAGCACTTAGCTCTTCACCTAGCTCATTCAGATGTGAAACAGTCATGTGTAATCAAGTAATCTTAAAAATAACCCTGAAAATTCAGCCATCATTTTCTTTCAAATAAGAAACTTTTCATATTTGAAAGATGCAAGTAGTAACTATTAACTCCATACAAAGTTTATTAAGTATTTTCACATATATATTATCAGTTGACGCTCACAAACATCTGAGAGATAGAGCTTATTCACATTTTACAAATGAGGGAAGTGTGTCAAAGAAATTACAAAACTTGCCCAAGGTCATACAGCTAATAAGCCAAAGAATCAAGACCAAAGACCTCTCCCTCAAAACAGTTACAAAACTAAACAACAGCAACAATTACAGCCAACAAAAGCACTTGCCATGTGTTTCTACCACATTTAAGTACTTTATGCATATAAATTTGTTTACTCTTATGAGGTAGTTATAGGGGGAAAGGGGTTAGAAAAGTATAAGCTGAGGAAATAGGATAAACAGAATAAAAAGACAAATGGAAAACAAAAGAGAAGATTTAAAAAGATCTAAAGTCTAGGAGTTTCAACATATGAGCAGAAGTTCTAGAGAAAAGAACAGAAAACACAAGAAGAAATCCAAGATACAATTCAAGAATAATACTGAAGGACAGGAGTTTCCAAAATCAAAGGATACAATGAGTATTCAGCAAAAAAGATGAAAATAGACCCAAACACAGGTATATATATAGCTCAGTGAAATGTCTAAATACTGAAGAGATAAACGTAGGACCCTAAAATATGCCCAAAGAGGAAACAGGTTTCATAAAAAGTATCTGGAATCAGAATTACACCACCCTTTTTAATGGCAACACTAGCAGCTAGAAAACAATCGGGCAAAACCTTCTGAGTTTGAGGGAAAACTATTCCCAGCCTAGAATTCCATACCAAAAGAGATATTAAATCAAGTGTGAATATATAATAAAGGCATTTTTAAACAAGAGAAATCTCAAATAATTTTGCTGCCCACATAATCTCTCTCAGGAAGTTACCAGAAGATGTGTTCCACCAAAACAAGGGTGGGAAACCATGAAAGAGAGGACGATTCCAGGAACTGAAGAATCCAGCTCATGAGAAGGGAAAAGGGAATCCTCAGAGTGACGACGGTGAAGGAACATCCTAAGCAGACAGCTATAAAGCAGATCTAGTGAACAACTGACCCAGATCAGGGTAGATCAGAAGGCTCCTGAAGAAGATAAAATCGATATAATACCAAATGTGCTTGAACATGTTAAGAGATTTATATAGTTTAGGAATAAAGTTAAGAACACAGAAACTAAGGAAGCTAAGAGAGAGAGAGAGAGAGAATTTTAACTCCAGGGAAAATAAAATGTTTAGGAAAAAACAGTTACACTACTCAACTGTAAATCGCATTTATCTAGTCATAATCACATAAAAACCCAACATTTATATAACCAAAATTACAATTTAGCTACTAGAAGGAGGGCTGAAAATATGTGTATGGTTGGGTAGAGGGAAAAAGAGTTCATAAATCTGGATGTGAAAAATCATGCCACACAGTAGTATGAGGATTACTTGTAACTTTGTCACTAGTTTAAATGATATATTTGTATGTCACACTAAAATATTAATTACAATCAACACTTAAAAATTAAGCAGAGTACAGATTTTATATAATTTGTTAACTACAGTATTCTAACAAATTTTTAATATTTTCTGAACTATTATAATCAAAACGAATACAACAATGACTTTCTCCTATACCAGCAAAACATTCTCTAATGGACTTAGTATGACAAGATGGGTTCCTCTTATTTCTGCAGAGTCAGGCCCTCATCCCATAAACCACTCAGCAGTTTCTAGACCAGGCTCTTTCCTTGCACGACCAGTGTTTCATCAAGGGTTCCAGGTCACCAGTATTTTTTTTTAATGGTATGCTTTCATGTTTTCATTCCTTGATACCCATTCCTATCAATGTTATCTTTTATTTAAATGTACTGAGAGAACATGTATTAAGTACTTGAAACTGCGCTTGTTTCCCTGGGATAAAATTATTTAAGGACTATTGTCCCTGCCCTCAAAGTAATACTAGGGTAAATGTATCAGTGAGAATAAGGTTTAGCTGTGAGAAACAGAAGAAAGTGGGTGGGGGAGGGGCCCATAAACAAATATGCTACTAATTATATTAAATACACTACTCTCCCACATAAATTCCAGGATTAGTAGTCTACAACTGGTTGGGTAGATTTGTTTCATAAAGGCCTGGAGCCCAGGACCCTTCCATCATATGCTGAGCCAACATGATGGGCAACCCAAGGTCCAAGATGGTGTGCCATCATATTTGTAGTAAGAACAGACCGGAGAAGGGAAAGGATAGGCCCCTCCTTTAAGAATTCATCATTTCTACTTAAAAACAATAGATTTTAAGTTATCACATTATCAAATCTAGCCACAGGGGAAGCTGGAATTACCACGGGCACTCTGGGAAAACACGTACACAGCAAACAAGCAAGTGTTCTATTAATGATGGGAAACGTAAAGATGATCATTGACTTTCTCGATGGTTGTTCTATTCTCTAATTTCAATTACCTCTAATCTTTATTTTCTTCTGCAAAACAAAAACAAAAACTAATGACTAATACTAATGTAACAGGTATATTTGTAATCCTAATTTAAAGTCACTCTAAGAGGGGCGCCTGGGTGGCTCAGTCCTTAAGCCTTCGGCTCAGGTCATGATCCCAGGGTCCTGGGATTGAGCTCCACATCGGGCTCCCTGCTTGGCAGGAAGCCTGCTTTGCCCTCTCCCACTCCCGCTGTTGTGTTCCTGCTCTTGCTGTCAAATAAAAATTAATTAATTAATTAATAAAATAAAATAAAATCACTCTAAGAAGGAGTCCATAAGCTCTACCAGACTCTGTCAAATAAAAATTAATTAATTAATTAAATAAATAAAATAAAATCACTCTAAGAAGGAGTCCATAAGCTCCACCGGACAGCCAAAAAGGTACATGGCATAAAAAAAAAGACTAAGAACTCTTGCCAAGGGGCAAAGGGAAACAAAGGAAAACTACTACTTTGTGGTTCTGGGGATGACTATTAATAAACCATAGAGGACAATATTTCATTCTAATATTTCATGTGTACTTTTCTTTAAATATTTAAATTACGTGTCACTTCTTATGACTCTTCAGTTTAGCCCACTTCTTCAACTAACCAAGGAAGCACTGCTTCTGCTAAGACGACTTCTACTCCACTATGAATATTCTACAGGAAAAAGTGGTGTTACACATCCTTTCTCTCGTCTCTCCTACCCTCTTTATCTTCTCAATTCCTATACCTTTCTCAATTTGTACTTCTGGATTTCTTTCTTTAAACTGAGATAAAATTTACATACAGTGAAACAGATCTTAGGTGTACAACCATCTCAATCAAAATACAGAATACTTCCATCACTCCAGAAAATTCCCTTATGCCCATTTGCAGTCAAACCCCACTAAGCTCCCAGGCAGCTAATATTACCACAGATTAATTTGTCCTTGTGTTCTTGAACTTCATATAAATGTAATCATTTAATATGCAGTCTTTTGTAACTGGCTTCTTTCATTTAATCTAATGTTTTACAGATTTATCCATGTTACATGTATCAATAGTTCATTCCTTTTATTCTGTGTATGATTCCACTGCATGACTACACCATCACTTGTTTATCCATCCTCCTTTGATGGATATTTAGGATGTTTACATTTTGGGGTTATTATGAGTAAGTATTATATAAACATTCTTGTGCAAGAATTTTGGGGATACCTGCTTTTATTTTCCATGAGTAAATAAGTAATAACTACAAGTAGAGTTGCTGGGTCATAAGGAAGACAGGGTAGGTGTATATTTATAAGAAACTACTAAACAGTTTTCCGAAACAGTTATATCATTTTACAATCCTATCCACATTTTAAAAGAGTTCCAGTTGCTCCACAATCTCATCAACATTTGGTGCTGTCAGTTTTAATCACAGCTTTTCCAATGGGTATAAAGTGGTACCTTATTGTGGTTTTAAATTTCCTTTCCCTGATGACTAATGATATTAAGCATATTTTCATTTGTTTATTAGCCATTTTTATACCTTCTCTGAAAATGTCTGTTCAAGTCACTGGCTCATTCCCCAGTCCCCTAGTTGGATTACCTGGCTTTTTATTATTGATTTACAGAAGTTTCATATGTTCTGGGTCAAAGTCTTTTATCAGATATACGTATTAACATAAATATTTGCTCCTCATCTATGACTTGCTTTTTCATTTCCTTAATAATGTGTTTTGATAATCAATAATTTAAAATTCTGATAAAGGGCGCCTGGGTGGCTCAGTCGATTGTGTCTGCCTTCAGCTCAGGTCATGATCCCAGGGTCCTGGGATCGAGTCCCGTGTTGGGCTCCCTACTCCACAAGGAGTCTGCTTCTCCCTCTGCCCCTCCTTCCACGCGTTCTTTCAATCCTTCCCAAATAATAAATAAAATATTTTTTAAAATAAAATAAAATAAAATTCTGATAAAAATCCAATATATCAAATTTTTTTGTTTAGAACTTTGTATCCTCTCAGAAATCTTTCCCTACCCTTAGAGTTCACAAAAATATTCCCTACGCTTTCTTCCAGAAACTACTTTTAGCTTTTTCCC